TTTATAGGCTGGAATGGATGGATGGGTAGATCTTTTTTGAAGTCGACTAAAAATATCCAAGGCGGTAACGGAAAGCATCGTCAAAGACTACATTGAATGTCTGGTATCTACTGCAAACGCCGAGAATCCTATATCTTGACTAAACAACTGGACTAATTATGAGTGATGTAAATAAAAATAGCTATAATTATAACTATAGCTATAACTACAACCTCGACTTATTGGTTTGACAAATTTAATTTAACGGTAAATTAAATGGAGCTAAATTGATTTTATGGCATTTAAACTTTAAAAGATTCTGTAAATGTACATATTAATACATTTAAAACGCCATATTATTTAACAATCAAAATCATAATGCAAATAAAAAAATTGTAGGAGATATCAACGTGTTCGCCACGCCCACCATACGAATAAGCATCTTATTCGACGGCTCCGTGGCACAATGGCTTAGCAATGAGTTACGGCGCTGAGGACCACTGGTTCGAATCCCGTACGGAACAAGTATTTAGAATAGAATAGAATAGAATGATTTTTATTCAATATGGATTATTACATAATACTTATTGAAAGTCATTATTTTATTTACCACTGGTTCGGAAAATACCTCTGTCCTGGGAAGAACCAGCAAGAAACCCAGCGGGACTATTTTTTTTAAACATAATTTCACTTAACAATAATTTTGATTATACAATTTTAAATTAATTTTCATAGAACCAGCATGGTGGCGATCACCTTATTCCAAGGGGTTATTTTCATTCATGTATTCCTTGATATTATAATAACCCTTTTTGTACAGTTTTTCTTTAATAAAACTTTTAAACTTGTTTATTGACAAACTTTGAACATGTTCTGGGATTCTATTGTAAAAGCGTATACATTGCCCCATAAATGAATTACTAATTCTGTGGAGTCTTGTAAGTGGCATTACAAGCTTATGTTTGTTCCTAGTGTTTAAGGTATGAACATCCTTATTCTTATTAAAGCTATTTATGTTTTTATGTACATACATTACATTTTCATAAATATATTGCGATGCCAAAGTTAATATGTTTATTTCTTTAAATTTTTCTCTAAGGGACTCTTTACAATTTAGATTATAAATTGCCCGTACGGCTCTCTTTTGCAAAACAAATATAGCTTCAATATCAGTCGCATTACCCCATAGCAAAATTCCATAAGACATTACGCTATGAAAGTAACTAAAATACACTAACCTAGCTGTCTCATATTTATATGGCCTACAAGTAATTCTTCCGGATCTGGATATTTGTCCTTGTGCAATTTATGTTTGTAAACTGCCTCCAGGATACAGGAGAATTTCCTAGTGTTATAACACGTTTTTAAAAGAAAAAAATAGCCTGTGTTACGCGTCTCTATTTGTTGCATGCAATCAATATCAATTCTTTTTTTTATTAAGAGCAGTTGTGAATACAGATAATAAAAGTAAATATTAATTACGATGACGACGTATTAATTTAAGTTTATTATCGTAGTTATTGCTTTTACAGTTCACATGTACCTACCCAGTAAAATTAGCGTAAAAATTAGCACAAACATTTGCACGCAATCGTCAAAACTAGACTAACCGATTTCACAAAACCACAATATATAACAATTTCACACTACGCGAGCAATCCGGGTTCGATCCTCGCCGGCACTGATAAATTGTTAATTGCAATTTTAGTTAACAATTTACCAAATGCTCGGCGGTGAGGAGAAACATCGTGAAAATACCTGCATGTTTAAGGAATTTGAAAAAAGATTTCCTTTGAAATTTTCTTTCAAATAAGGAAACCGGCAACACGGATACACAAGACGCGGCAGACACAATTCTTTCCCTAAACCGGCTTAATGAGAGGCCTTGGCCCAGCAGTGGGACGTATATAACTATAACTTTACTCCGGTATATACCAGCAAAACTAAATCAATCTCGCCAAAACTCGATCGACAAACGCATACGGAACTAAGTAATAACCGGTACGAATCCAATTTAATCCAACTCACACCGCGCAAACAAACCAATGTAATTAACTTCCTCTCTTTCTAACTAAACAAGCGCTTTGCGATGTGTAAAAGATGATGACATTCTTACTACAATGAATAGATATGGATTTCGGCGGTTTCTTAGATGAAGAAATCTGACATAGAAACATGGAACTACAATAAGAAATAAGTTCTAATTTAAAATTGGTGCTAAGAATATGAAGCATGAAGGAAAATCATAACTGAGAACCTACATTTTTAACAAAATATAAGTGGTAAAATTAAAAATTTTGTACTGCCAACTTCAATATAAATTCAATGTAGTCGAAGTCAATTAAATAAGCTTATATTTTATGGGACCACATGAGAGCACCAACCTATTAAATAAAAAAAAAAGAGTCATTTAACCAATTTCAAAGAGGAGGTACTCATTTCGAATCTATGTTTTTTTAATGTGTTTTTTTATTTGAAAGCTGGTGCTTCTCATGTGGTCCGATATAAATTTGATCAGTCTGACCAATAGTTTTTGAGTTATTCTTAATAATATATATTGAAATCTGATGTATAAAATTTTTAATTTTACCACCTATTTCGAAGTCTGTTGAAAACATGTAACACAACTAACTAAAGATGAGCCGAGTACTCGGTTACTACTCGGTACTCGGCATATTCGGTGTTTTTTTATACTCTCTAACTCGATTACTTGGTTGAATAACTCGGTTCAAGTCTACTAACTCTACTCTGTTTATGAGATATTATCAAAACAACCATGTTTATTAGTCAAGTAAGGAGCATTTATTAATTAAAAAATGCCAGGTAAGCATTCAAAAAAGATACAATTATTTTAGGTACTTAACAAAATATAAATAAGTAAATATTTAAAAAGAAACAATTGATATTTGAAATTTAGCAAGGGTAAGTTATATTATGATGCAGGAATACAAGGCAAGGCAAGGCGCAGAGCGCGTTCTGGTAACAGCCTATTCAGTTTTTCTTCATAGACATTGATTGCCTCATAAAATAAACGCTCGCTGTACACAGTGCTTACAGGTGCACACAAAAATACTTGTGCTAGATATGCCATTTGTAGATATCTTATTTTATCTTCCACCCACCACTCGAAAGGGCTCTGGTCTCGAGACAACAAACCTTAGTTTACATATTGGTCTAATTCTAAAACTGATATGATTTTTTATAGAGAATATTTATAGAGGTAAGTAGATGGTGTGGCCCATATACACCTACATTTATCCTCAATTAAAAATAAAGATATGTAAATAGATGTGTTGTCATGCCAGAAGATTAAGATAGTATGCCTCACTATGAGTAAAAGGGTCACCAGTGCTCAAAACTTTTATGCTGCTATTTTACGCCAGTATTCTGTGAGAGGGTGAGCCAACCCATTTATACTGTAACCATAATAATATACTTTCATGTGAGTGAATAGTATGAAAAAAGATATGTCTAACCTCCATCATGGATTAATATTATTATTAGTATTAAATCATAATGTCCAAAGGAAGCACTCTCATGGCAAAGATTTTAATTTTCTTGTCATGACACATTAGTTATAATGCTATAAAAATTAAGTCCCAAAAACTAGAATTAATTTTCTACTACTTACATGATTTTAACTGATACCATTTATCCTTAAAATTATCAATAAATGTGTGTGATACATGCACAATTTTAGACATTTTATTAAATACATTAATAGCAAATGAACAGGGTTAACTCATGATACAAAGCACAATGAATAGGAAATACAAGCCAGTAAAATGATAACATATTATATCAATGAGTATTGATGTGTTTATCTTACAAAATACATAGATAGGAAGCTATAGGATGATAGATTCAATCACAAGACTAAGTAGTTTCACCTATTCTGCTATCAAAGCAAAATGTACTTTGTGTGCTTTTAAGATTATAGGTTTTTTTTGTTTATATGGATATTATATATAATTTACATTAAAATATACTTTGTAGAAACTTACATAACTTGTGAGATTTTTGTCATTTTACACTATTGTTATCTTCTTTTAAACAGTAGTGTGCTGGTAGAAACAATATGATTAAACATCACATAAACTTTTATACTTAGGCCGGCCACATACATACAGAATTCCATTTTCCGAACGGGTCAGCCACACACATACGGAATTCCGTTTTGCCCGCAAAACTTTGGATGGAAAACTAGAGTATGTGTGTGATGAGTCAATGATTTTATATGAACTTGCTGCATTCGGAATCTCGAAACGGAATTCCGTATGTATATGGTGAGCCTAAGTCATCATTTTTAGATAAGAAAATTATGAGTCTGATCATCAATTTTAAAAAAATCAATCATATTTTTACATTTACAAATGAATTTAAACTAATGTCAAATTTTTATCTTATATTGAAACAATATACACTTGTTAATGAATTGCATGATGCAGGTCCTCTGTTTATTTACCATATGAATAGGCATATTTTAATCATTATAAAATTAAGGTTTTTTTTTTTAATATCTTCAATAAATATTTCCAAAAGTGTAGCAGATATCATTATAGCTACATATGAATTATACTAGGCACTTATTTCTTTATTCCTTGCATGTTAACAAACATCAAGCTTTAGGTTTTTATTTTTAACACAGAATATAAATAATGGTGCAAATACTAATTATAGCAGCGTGCATAGCAAATAACTAGGGTCATGCAGAAATCGCTGATTAGTAACGGTTTAAGATGAATTGGGTCGTGCTCGTCAATGTATTGTTTAGTATATATAAATAGGTTACTGTTATAGTCATTTATGACTCACACACGGTCTCACTTAACCTTTTGAGGATTAAGTTTATATGATAGTTATTGATTTTACTGTACATACAAATGATATGCCACGGCAATACTTACAGGTTGAAAAATTAAACAAAATTGTTAAATGCGCAAAATGTATTGTTAAAATAACAAAAGCGTACAAATATGTTGCGGCTACAGTGCATAGAAAAATCATAGCTTCTCTTTTACTTGTAACATTTGAGCCGTAATTGTTGACGCCGGTGTTTGCAAATTCATCACTAAACCTTTTATAACCATCGGACGGCGAAGACGGGCTCCTCAAGGAAGCCATTTTTCGAACTGACTGACATGTGACAGCACAGCAGTAACATGAGTGACAGTGACACTAACAATGTTGTTGTTTTTATTATTTGCTCGAGAGAGCAGGCAAAGGAACTAAGCCATACAGCCTTGTCTTTTTTATTTTGAATATATAGAATTTTAAAGTGTAAAGGCCGGAACCAGGTCTTATTTTTCTTCTTTCCATCTCTTCAAAACCATAAAGGCCGAAGTCAAGTCTTATTTTCTTTAATTCTTCATATTTTCAAAAACCCGAAAAGGCTAAAGCCAAGTCTTCTTTATATTATATTCTTTGTAGGTTTCAATCCGTGTAGATTTGTCAATCCAATATTTTCAAAAACAGGGATACCATATTTCATATTTCTTTTACAGTATTATGAATAAAATTGCAAAGTGCTAAATATGTCTTAGTATTCCTAGGAACATCTTGCAAGGCACGCGGGACGCTTTCTGCGTTTTCATAAACTTGTATAAGTTTTTCAATGAGTAGCAATCTTTCAATGGCGTCCGCTGGGCAGTTAAATATTATATGTTCTGCAGTCTGATCTGCTTCTGTATCGCAGAAATTGCATGTTGCAGATGCTACTATTCTCATTCTGGAAAGATGAGCGTTCAGTCGATAGTGGCCAAATCTAAGTCTGCACATTATTGTATAAAATTTTCTGCTATGATATCTCTCGTTGCGAGAAAACCAAGGAATACTTAATTCTGAATTAATTGATGCATACCAACGACCTTTTCCTGCCTCTAAAACAGCATTCCATTACATTTTAAATTCTTCTTTTAACTGTTTCTTTAAAATTGAATATAAATCTGTATGTGGTATTGCAACATAGGTTATCCTTTCAATATCAGCTGTAACTATACTTTTAGCTAAATGGTCTGCTCTTTCATTTCCTTGAACCCCAATAATTATGTGAGTACATAAAAATTTTACTTCCAAATTATTTTCTTTCAATTTCCACCACAAACTTTTGATTTCATATATGATGAAAGACGTTTTAGCATCTAAAGCTCTTGCCTTCAGTGCCTTCAAGACACTCATGCTATCAGAGATCAGTAACCATTTATTAGATACATGTGGGTGTTCTTCTATATATTTAAGAGCGATTAAGAGAGCATAACATTCTGCAGTGTATATGCTTGCTGATGCAGGAATGGAAAGGCCACGCCCAGTTTTCAGATGAGGTATGTAAAATGCACAGGCTACTTTATTTTAAACTTTTGAACCATCTGTGTAAATTTGTCAATATTCATCATATGTAGATATAAGTTCAGAAACCTCTTCTTTTCTTTTCAATTTTTTATCAATATTTATGTGTATATCACTGAATTTACTTTCATAATTCCCCTTATAACAAGGCCAAGTATGTGTGCTTTTGTGAATATTATATTGTTCACCATATCGTATCACTTCATGAAAGTCATGGAGTATATATGGAGCTGAGTTAGATATAGAAGACATACTATTATAGTAAAATAATACTTTTTGAAAAAGAGGATAATGTGACAAAGAATTGATATTTAATAAAAACCTAAATTTCAGATATTTAAACGTAAGTAAGATAGGAGGAGTAAGACATTCAGCCTGTAAAGAAACAATAGGAGTTGTTCTCATAGAGCCGGTAATAAGTCTTAAATTCTTATTTTGTATATTATGTAATTTGTTTACTAGTTTTTTATTTGATGCAAAACAAAGGAAGCCATACTCAAAATGGCTCCTCACCAAAGACTTATATAACATTAATAATATTTCTGGATCAGCTCCCCAGCTAGTAATAGCCAAAGCTTTTAATACATTAAAGGCCTTAGAAGCTCTGTCTGTAATAGCATTCACGTATTTGGTCCAAGATAAATTATTTGTAAAAATTACACCTAAGAATTTTGCACAACTTTCTATTGGTAAAAATGTATTATTATAAATTATTCTAGTGTTAAATGGACGAATTTTATTAAATATTACAACTTTTCTTTTCTCAGTACTAATATCTAAATTTAAGTATGAAAAGTAAATGTGCAATTTCTTTAAAGCCTCATTTAAAATGGTTAACAAGGTTTTGACATTTGCTCCTGAGGCGTATATGACCAAATCATCTGCATATTGTAAATTAGTAACATTTGATCCTAAAATATTGTTTAATTTAAATATGTATAAAATAAAGATAAGAGGCCTTAATATTCCTCCTTGACAAACACCTTTATAACTGAGCCTAGGACCAATAATTGTATTATTATTATTAACTTTAGCAAAAACTCTTCTTTCATGTAAAAAGTTAAATATCCATTTTACAATTTTTTCAGGAATGGCCAAAGACCTCAACTCTGCGACGAGTACATGAAGATTAACGTTATTAAATGCACCAACAATGTCAAAGAATATATAATTAATATTTCATCTATTTATTTTCCATAGCTTTAAAAATGTTTAAATGTAGAAATGCAATACTTTCTCTAGATGACTTACTGCGTCTGAATCCAAACTGATTTGATGGTAAAAGACAATTTTTTTCTAGACAAAATTCTAATCTAGATTTTATAATTTGCTCAAATATTTTACCCATACAAGATGTAAGTGCTATAGGTCTGTAAGATTCTGCAATGTGAGGTTTTTTTCCAGGCTTTAAAATGGGTATCAAACAATCTTCTTTCCAATCGTTAGGAATAAGTGAATGAAACCATAACATATTATATATTTTCAAAACTAGTTCTCTACACACAGTATTCATATTTTTAAAGCTTTATATGGAACAGAATCTAAACCACAAGTAGTGTCTTTTCTAGAGTTAACAGCTGAGTTGAATTCGGTCAAGGTAAAAGGTTTGGTAAGATAATCACAATGATTATCATTAGAGTAGTTAGGGGTTAGAGGTGATTCATCTGTTTCTGGAGTATATTTTTTCAAAAATTCATTAGCCCATTTAGAATCTATGACAGATGTGTTATTATGAACAAAATTTTTGTTAAACTTTTTAATGTAGTTCCATACTCTAGTCAATGGAGTAGATCTATTAAAAGTTTCACATAGTTTTTTTCCAGCTAAGATATCTTTCAGTCTTCAAAATAATTTTTTAACAGCTTGTAGTCTTTTAAAATTAATATAATTTCGTTCTGTGGGATCATTCTTAAATACTAAATATGCATTTTTACAATTTAATACTGCCTCTTTGCATTTTAAATTCCACCAAGGTAGAGAATTTTTCTTTTTAATTCTTTTAAAAGATTGAAAGTTGATGTTAACATTTCGATTAGAAGACTGATTGGATGGTGTGGATTCATGCATGGCTTGTTTAACTAGTTCTATTAAGTCTGTATAACATTGTAAAGGATTACTATAATCAAAACTATAATTTTTAATGAAATTATCTATTAAATTTGTATATTTTGACCAATCTACCAATTTTAAGTTTATGTTATTTGATACAGCTGTTTCTTGAAAATTTTGATTATTAACCGTAATTTTTGTCTTTACAGGAAAATGATAGCTCCCTAGAGAATCATCATCACATACTTGCCACTCACAAGACAGAGCCAGTGAAGATGAAACAAGTGTCAAGTCTAATGCATTCTGCCTCCATCTATGAGATCCTACTGAAGTCATCTGACCATCATTCAAGATTACAAGATTGTTGTCATATATACTTGCAAGAACATCCCTACCTCGTGAATCTAATTCAGTACATCCCCATAACGTGTGATAGGCGTTGAAATCACCAGCTATAACGACTGGCTGTGGCAAACGTTGGATTAAATTATCTAATTTGGATTTATTATAATTAATTGATGAATTAACACTACAGTAAACACTAACTAAAGTTAATAATTTATCATTGTATTTGTACTGCTATATTTTGTAATGAGTCATCAGAGCATGTATTGATAACACGAAATCCAATTTTGTTATGTAGAAGTATTGCTACTCCATTATGATCATTACCTGAATCTAATCGTATAATATTATAACCTTTTACTCTAAAATTGTGCCTAAGTTTAAGCCAAGTTTCACATATAAGAGCAACATCTATGGTGTTCTCATATAAAAATTGTGTAAATTGAAAGCAATTTTTAATTAAACTCTGTGCATTCCATTGTAAAATGTTAAACTGATCCATAAAATATTAAATGTTAAATAATGAAATATCTATTTTGGTTTCATTGTATCTATGAGAACATCTTTAATACGCTGAGAAGATATGGTGGTTTGTTCATTTAATTTATTAAGAGTTAATACTTTAATGACTGTATTTAAAATTATATTAATAATGTCATCATTCTTTAGCAGTGACATAAGAGCATCTTTAGGATTTTTTTTCTGTTTAATTCGGGGAATTCGTTTTTATTAAAAAGGTCTACAAACGGGGTTTTGTGTAATTTAGCCTGATTTTCTTTTATCTTGTTTTTCTTAACAGGACACTGTCCAGAAATGCTTAGATGGTTTCCTTTGCAATGTATGCATATCGCTTTATCTGAAGAGACTTGGCAATCTTTGTAGCTATGATTTTCAGTACAAATTGAGCATTTCACAGAATTTTTACAGTACTTTGCTAAGTAGCCAAACCTCAGACAGTTGTAGCACGGCTTCACTGGTGGAATATACTGATTTACCACGAACCGCCAACCATGAAGAACGACGTGGTCCGGCAAAACATTAGAAGCGAACGTGATGGCCACGGTGCCCGTCGGCTGCAGCAAACTGCGTCCTGCGTCATTCTTACGTTTCCTCATTATCCTTTTAACACATATTATTTTCCTGTAAGTCGTTAACATGCCAAAAATTCCTGAATTAGTGGGAACATTAGTTATGACTCCTGTTATTTCTGTCCCTACACCTGGGATAGATGTCTTCATTTTGTATTCATTAAGAAATGTAACATTATTTAAAAATGCATTTGCTAGAGAGGGCTTTTCAAAATGAACGCCTATTTTGTATTTATTGATAGATTGCAAATATTTAATGCCTTTATTGTACCTCTTCTCTCTCTCTCTATGTGTGGA